AGTTGTAGTTTTAAATATAGTATCTATTTTTAACTGGTCTTTTGATTTTAAACTATTTTCTTTAGTAATTCCATGTACACTAGAAAGATGATCCCACATATTTCCTGTTGATCTACCTGTATTGCAGATTATATTGCATGTCTGCTTTTGACAATTTCTAACAATCTCCAGAGGACACCACTCAATATGATTTCCTGTTTCTATATGCTCTAAAGGGTGAAAATAATTCCAAACTTCACTAGCTAGCTTACTGGCACTTGCTTTTGATAAAGGTCTATAGCTATCTGGAATAGAGTTGGTATCTTGTAATGAATTATCATTTACATCTGATATATACTCTTCATTTTCAGATGTAGTTTCAGTATTTTCATTGAAAGACTCAATAGGTTTAGAAGATTGGAAAGCATAATTATTATTTAGTTTTCGTGATCTTTTCAATTTTTTTGGGGGTTTTTGATTTTTTTTGTTTTTTATTAGAAATTATACCGTTTTGTCTAATAGTATCAATATGGACTTAGTAGTAAATGAGAATTTATATTTAATTAGATGATTTAAATATTAATAATATAATAATTACAATATTATAAAATATTATAGATAGTAATTAAGCTCAACGCTAAAAAAAATTCAAAAAACAAATATAAAAATTTAATTTAAGATTTAAACTCATGAGTTATAAGAAAAATAAGTGTACAAATAATTACTTTATTATAGAGAAACCCAAAATAAGATGTAAATTTTTATCAGATTTTTATACTTTTTTATATTTTTATAAAAATTTCTACTATTTTCTATCTAATCTATCTTGTATTTAAAGCATGTAAAAGTTTATTGCTTTGGAGCTTTTTGCCTTGATGATAAAAAGTATTTTCATTAGATTCTTTGTTTTTTTCTTGATTACTAATTAAAAATTTGTTTTAATCTAACTTAATTTCATCCGTTTCTTGTGAATTAGAAGCATTCTCTAAATTTTCTTTTGATTTTTATGCTTTTTCACAGCCTTCTTACAGCTCTATATCTTTTTTAGTAGTAATAATTTTTCTTTACACGTATAACTATGAGTTTTAATTACTTTACATTTTTGGTTAGTAGTTTTAGATCTACGTAAATTAGAATCATAGAAGCTATAATATGTACAATATTTTCAGGCTACAATATTACAAAAAGTATGCTAAAAGTTTTTAACAGGTTATGTTACTAATGTTGATTACTTGTTAGAGTACCCGATATCTTATGCATAATAATTAATATAGTATAAAAAGAATAATCTCTATTTCTTATATCTTATTGCTATTATTAAAAAATTTTTCTGAATAGTTTAAACAAATAAAGTAGGTTGTATATACATAATAGGCATTTCATTATATAATTATCCAGATAACTATCCAGATGATCATCTAATTATTTCTGACATTCAGATATAACATCTGCAGTCTTATATTTGTATCCAGATATCTGGATCATCTGCGGATATCCGGATATTTAGTTAAACAGATCCCAACAATACAAGTTGTAATGCAACCATTAGCTGAATGTACTATCAATAAAATCCTGAGTCACAAGTACTCACCTTAATATTTAAAAAAAAAAAAAAAAAGTTGTTCAGCTTACTAAGACAGATATTTTGATATATAATTTATTCAAAACAGATCAAACTCACAGAGATACAAGCAAAAAGCGAAAACAAAAACTTGTTCTTTGTAGGTTTTTTCATTGGCATTTTAGGAAATCTTACAAGAGTGCCCTAGAAATTTCACTTTTCTGGTACTTATTAGAATTTCCTAAACATCCAATAAGCTTATTTGAAGCTCACACATCTTTTCAAATTCTTCTAACTTGTCTAGAAACTTCTAAATCAAACAAATTTTTCTATAAAATATACTTAAAAATCTATTTTTAGAACAAAATACCAAACTTGATAACAGTTACACTTGATATCATCAATCTTGACTATTTTTACCAAAAGTGTCCTAAAAGTTTTGGTATTGGTATCCTTGAAGATGTAGCTAATACATCACATCCCATTCCTGCAAATAAGCAATCAAATAATTGTTCAACTACAGAACTTAGAGGAGAAACAAAAAGTTATCATTATTTTAAAGCATCTAAATCTAGTTTCATCATTACATGCTTTTGTGACAAGTTCCACACTCACTTTATCTCAACTACCAATCAAACTTATAAACAACATAAAGTCATTCCTATTAATAAAAAATTTAAAAATAAGAAATCTTTAGCAAACAATATTGCAAACTCTACTGAATTTATTCTACCATCATCTATAATATTACCTTTACCTACTATACACAATAATCAATATGATAAATGCAGCTTGTCTATTGGCTGCAAAGAAATGAATAATCAATATTATCTGGCAGCAGATGCAATTCTATACAATAACAAACCTTATCACAAAACTTGTACAAATATTCAACAACCTATTCAATCATCAAGTTTTTCTTCTATATTTATCTAAAAACTCCAACAAATGATTAGTTCCTACAACCCACTAGCATCTGAACTTACTTTTACAACATCACCTACAGGTAATTCTGGCAATCCAAATATTATAGACTTGGACAACAATACAATTTATAGTAACACCAACAATCATCACACTCAAACTAGCAATTACAATAATAACAACAACCAGATAAATAACAACAACAACCAGACAAATAAAATTAATAATCAGACAAACAATAATAACAACAGTAAACACAATCCAATACTAACAACATCTAACAAAAAACTAAAGCCAACCCAACATTTGACTGGCTTGCAAATTTTGCTATAATTGAAGAAATAAAGAACAAATCACAACTGCAAACAGACTTTGCCAAAAAAATCTTTAATTTTCTTAAACAACATTTATTTAACTTCAAATCTGGAACTGAAATCAAACCTAAATTTGGTGATCAACCAGCTCTTAAAGCTAGTTTCTACTATATAATCCACAAAATAGCAGAAAAAAGACCCTAATTTCTAGTTAAGTTTATTCAGAAAAATAATCTAAATACTAACAAAGCTATAACAATTCTTTTTGATATATTTGAAGGAACTCTAAAAAAATTAATTCTTACATTCACTATTATATTCTTTACAAAACACAATTATTCAAAAATATTTGCTTCATCTGCAACTATTCCTCTTTATACAAGCCCAAACTGATTACAATTCTGCATTAATCTCATATGTCTTCATCTTTATCTTACAAACAATTACCAAGCTATTGACTACATTAAATTTGCTGAAGATATTTAACTTCAATCCAAAAGGTTTAAAATTTTATCTGAAGTAGTTAACTTCAATAAAGAAAAACAATATTTTACAATCAGCTCTAATAGCAAATTTAATATATATCTTAAATTTAACATTCCCAAAACATTCTTTTTACAAAAACTCAACATCTCATCTCTTAAAAATTTACTTAACCATTTTAAACAGTGGTTTAAACAATTCTTTCTATTATATAATCATCAATTTACCAAACCTATAGATGAAACTAAGGTTTTTAATGCACTTAAATACCAATTTTAGCAAAAATTCATTTTTCACCTTAAAGAAATTATGTCTATTAAACTAAGCTTTACAAAACCTAACAACTTACAGGAATGTTATGATGAAGCAATTAAATATACAAATCACTATATCCTTTTCTGTACAGATATTAACTGCATCTATTTAAATGAAACAGAATAATTAAAAAAGAAAAAGAAGTTAAACCTACCAATTTTGAAGAACTATCTTAATACTATGAACACTCTTCTCAACTTCTTAAAAGCATTTTCCAAAAATTCTATATTGACTTTTCTAAACAAAAAAATAAAATCTGGCAATAACCCAAACTCAACTCCTCTCTATTTTACAAAAACAGCAAATATGAAGCATCTTTTGCTAAACAAATCTTAACTTTATTACTTGACAAACTTGCAAATGATGCAAAAAACTTTGCTTGCAAAGCTAACAATGTTCCAACTAACTCCAAATACTTCAACTACTATTTCTATTTATATTTAAACCTTTATCAAAATGTCGCAGTCCAGAATCACAATATATATAAGCTTAACAAGCAACAAGCAATTAACATTCTTACAATTAAACCTATCAGCACCAAATTTCTTGTAAGGATTTTAACTTTCTATTACTCTTGTGATAAAACACTTATCTACCCTCAAATTACAAATTACTTCTAAGAAACAGACTATCCTAAGACAAACAAAATTATACAAGAAAAATTCCAAATGAAATATAAAACATCATTTTTGATTACAAAGTTACTTTTTATTGAAGAGACACTTTTTTAATAAACTTGTCTTTTACAACCTTCATAAATGCAGTCACCACCTTACCAAAAAATACACTCTTAGTAGTTAGTAAAGAAAATAATTTAAGTGGGCAGATGGTAAAGCCTATTTACATGAAAAACCAAATTAATGACAGCCAGATCCAATGTATAGGGCAGGCTATGGCATTCTCTACAGCTGTGCAAGCTGAGCTTCAAATGGTAAACAATCCTGTAGAAGACAATCCAACTTCTCAAGTTTCTGATTTCAACAATTCACCTCTTGCAAAAACAAACACATGCTACAACAAATTTCTACAATCATACAATCTACCTATCATACATAATTCTATAACACTTGGAAACTTTCTATTCTATCTTTGAAAACACTTTTTCAAAAATAGCTTCAAAATATCTATTAAACAAAACAAAACTGAATTATATATATACATTAACCTTTCTAATTCTATTTTGCATGAACATTATACTATTCAACCTTTTTAATATAAAATATACAAACATCTATCTTTACTAACAACATCTAACAATATATCTTCAAACACTCACTCAGTCTCACTTGATCAATTGTTTCTTACAGACCTATTTTCTGAATCTTTATCTATACCAGTAACTTCTACATCTAATCATACTATCGATAGATTTAAAACTCTTTCTCAACATACATTCTCTAATACTTTTAATACACAATCTACCATCCACTTACTAATAAAGAAAACATTTACATCTACTCTATATAAACCATTACACTTATCAATATGTACACACAACATACAAAAATACAATGATAATCTAAAACAACAAGTTTGGAAGGATTATTGTTTATTAAATAACATTAATATAGCTAGTATTACAGAAACTAAAATTGCACAAGACAATGCAAATGCTAAATTCTCTAGATCTTAGCAGTTCATCTATTACTGGTCTTGCACTAATAGCTGCAAAGCTAGAACAGCAATTATGATTAAAAACATTTAAAATCACATATTCACAAAACACTTTAATTTTCTGATTATGCTATTGCTATAGATCTTTTCTTTAAGTATGACTTCAAATTCTGCATCATTTCAGTTTATTTACCTAATGATGATCTTCAACTTAGACTTCTTATTCAAAATAATATCATATAATAGATTCAAGAAGCG